CCTCTGAAGAAGAAAGGCAAACCAGCCTGCTGAGGCAGTCTGCTTTGCTGGAGAATTCAGTGGGCAGCATGGAAATCCCCGGATAGGGGAGAGAGAGAGAGAGAGAGAGAGAGAGAGGTATGTCTCTCCTCAAGACAGGTGATGGCAGGGGAGCTGGAAGTCTCAGAGCAGACCACAGAGGGATAATAGAGGTGCATTAGCCCAGAACTGTGAAAACTGCAGTTATACTACTATTTTTAGCATGTTCGCTTGATGTCTACTGGAACTGGGAATCACACTCCCCTCTCCAACTGTAGACATAGCCTAAAGGCTTGTCTACAGAGCTCCTCAGTTTGGACTATGGAGGTGTGAATTGTAGCACACACTAGTGCACTCCACTGTGTGGACACTGCTGTTGCAAACTACAAGATACCTAGTTCGCATTAACATGGTCCTCTTTAAACAAGACTATTTAACTGCAAACTAAGTACCTTTTAGTTCATGCCCTCAGCATCCACTTAGGGGAATTACAGTGAGGCAATCCAATGCGCACTGCAATTTGTACACCCTATAGTCTGAATTGTGGGACTGTGTAAACACAGCCTAAGAGTCAAGTGCTACCTTTTATTCTGCTAAAATAAATCTGGTACAGTACCTGTATATGAAGAACAATAGTGACATCCAGTGGATATTAAAAAAAAAATCCCACACACCTGTGATAAGCGTAATTGTTAGAGAAGGAATTGTAGGTTAAACATTTGAGAAAAGCATAACCAAAAATATATTTTAGTATTTGCTGTCCATGACAAAGGTAAAAAAACACTAAAAATTGTTAAAAAATTTATGAGGTCTACCGGATTCTGAAATAATTTCTGGTAAACACATCCCCTTTCAGGGTACATATCCATCTGAATGTGCAAGTAGCTACTCAAATATATGTACACAGATGAGAGCATATTCCAATGACTTTGTGATAATTAATGTCATTTTTATATAAATAACAGCTGACTTGTGACTTTATTTGCAAATAAAAAGCACCATGTTCAGTTCACTCTGATTCATGGGGTCAAAAAAATCACAAGTATTTGGATAGCTGTTGGATATTAGTGAAAATGTTTGTGTCCATGACAGATTCAGGAATTTTAACATTAATTATTACTCATACAAAAAATGTTTTACTGGAAATGAGCTTTTTGCTATATCCTGTTTCAAGTGCTTCAGTCATTCACCCAGGCAGTTGAAATAAAAAAAAAAAAAAAAAAAGTGGTGTGTGTCTGTCTTAGTGGATAAATCACACAACAGTACAATACATAACAACCAGTCAACCAAACTGTTCACAAGCCACAATCTGAAAGTTATTCATCTAGTATAGTACTTACAAATAGTAAATTCATTTGCTTACAAGAAAGAAGATCAGTTTGTGAATATATCACACACCTAAAAAGGGTCTAAATTTGTGTCATAATAATAAATAAGAATAAGAACAAACAGAGTTGGTTTAACTATTAAGTATTACAGAAGGAGGAGGCATCCTGAAAGAGAACTAATCTCCATACCTACTGATACCTTGTTAGTCTCTAACATCAGCCTGAAGAAGGCAGACTGACTAAAAAAGGGAAATATAGTCTCTTACTAAAATTACACATGAAGGAGAACCAGACATCTCAGAGGATTGGTTAGGAAATGCAGTGCCTTAGTGCTGGTTCACATTCAGCAGAGCTCAGTAGTTACTACTGGAAGAATTTGTACGCCTAAGTGAAACAACTTGATGGTCTCAATCTCATTTTCTAAAAGGAATGGACATGTCTCAACATAGTACTTCATAGATGTTTAAAAATTCCCATACTAGCCCCTTGTTCGAATATCTTAAGAAAAGTGACAACTAAAAGATTGATATTTCAGCAACAACTAATAACATTAGGATTGAAGGGTTCCAATTACATGACAAAATATGTATTGTATCAATAACTGTGACAGACTGGGCCAGGAACCATTGCAGAGTAACTTCTTTAGGTTTCTAATTCATTTTTGTTTTCCTTAATGCTTTTTACTAACTTTCTCCTCTATTTTAAACACCCAGTCTTATTGATAAAGAGAGAAAATACTTCTATTATTTATACAATAGCTTTAGGCAATAGTATCCCTACCTTTCTCCCGAGAGCACATTTAGTCAATGTACAGTCCTGACCCAGTTTTAACTCTGACCTTATTCTCTGAGCTGGAAGCATCTTACAACTGATGCACTCAGGGTAAAAAGTTAAAAATATCTTTGAAATGTTACAAAGGAGAAAACTTTTTTTCAAAAATATTTGCGGCTGTCTTTATACACCATAAAAGAGCAGTAAAGGGCAAAAACAATTTTAGCTTTGTGGTTCATCTTTAAAATACTGCTGTTAAACATAATACAGTATGTTCTGGCTGGGTCTGTGTGTGTGTGTGTGTGTGGCATGTGCACAGACAGCGTATACAGGGTGTGGCTCCTCCCAGAAGGGAAGGACCCCTGACAGCACAGTGAGAGAGTATGCTTCCTGAAGGGGAAAGAAAAAGGGCTTGAAGTCAGTAGCACCAGAAGCCGGAAGGGAGCTGCTTTTGTTCGCTCTTCCAATACTAAACACACATTTTATTGTTACTGAGTTTGTGACTGTGTCATCATTCCAGGGATTCTGCCTGCTTATGCTAACCCACAAGGAGACCAAAAGGTTGGGTAATAATACACTCTAAGCTGCACAGTTGGGTATCATTTTACATAAACACACATTGTTCGTGGTTGACACTAAGCTGGGGGAAGAGGTAGATATGCTGGAGGGTAGGGATAGGGTCCAGAGTGACCTGGACAAATTGGAGGATTGGGCCAAAAGGAAACTGATGAGGTTCAATAAGGACAAGTGCAGAGTCCTGCCTTAGGATGAAAGAATCCCATGCACTGCTACAGTCTGGGGACTGACTGGCTAAGCAGCAGTTCTACAGAAAAGGACCTGGGGATTACAGTGGATGAGAAACTGGATATGAATCAGCAGTGTGCCCTTGTTGCCAAGAAGGCAAACGGCATATTGGGCTGCATTAGTAGGAGCGTTGCCAGCAGATCGAGGGAAGTGATTATTCCCCTCTGGTGAGGCCACATCTGGAATATTGCATCCAGTTTTGGGCCCCCCACTACAGAAAGGATGTGGACAAATTGGAGAGAGTCCAGCGGAGGGCAATGAAAATGATCAAGGGGCTGGGGCACATGACTTACAAGGAGAGGCTGAGGGGGGATTTGATAGCAGCCTTCAACTACCTGAAGGGGAGTTCCAAAGAGGATGAAGCTCAGCTGTTCTCACTGGTGGCAGATGACAGAAAAAAGACCAATGGTCTCAAGTTGCAGTGGGGGAGGTCTAGGTTGGATATTAGGAAACACTATTTCACTAGGAGGGTGGTGAAGCACTGGAATGGGTTACCAGTGGGAGGTGGTGGAATCTCCATCCTTAGAGGTTTTTAAGGCCGGCTTGACAAAGCCCTGGCTGGGATGATTTAGTTGGTGTTGGTCCTGCTTTGAGCCGAGGGTTGGCCTACATGACCTCCTGAGGTCTCTTCCAACCCTAATCTTCTGTGATTGGGCCAGACTCTCTGGTGCAACAAGGAGCAATCAGCACAAAACACAGAGGTGGCCAAGGTGGCCCCAGTCCTGGAACTGCTAGGTATCAGTACAGTTCCCTCCATGTGGTAGAACAGCCTGCAGATGGCTTTAAATTTACCTCACATCACAAGAGTCTTCTAGAAGCTGTAGATGCAAAAACATTCCAGCAATGCCTCCCCCCCCGTTCCCTAGCCATACTCCTACACTGGCAGTCATTATGGTGTCTCCATGCCACATAGGGAGAAGAAAAATTCATTATGCTGGGCAAATACTCTAGCATTATTGACTATTCTTTTAGTTACAAATTGAATCCAGGTGATTTCATATCTGCTGATGGGGGGAGGTGGGGGGGGGTAACTGAGTTGTTTTATGACTTGATTCATAGTAAATTTCTCCACTATAGCTCTCCAAAAAAATAAATGTAAAAAAAAAAAAAATCACAAGATATTGTCCTACTTTTTATACTGAAAATGGTATTTAGACTGTCTGAGTAAAGTAACTTTTAAGTTGATGTCTTCTGGGAGAAGACATCTACACTAATTCTTTGGCAAAATATAGAGACCACTACAATAACACAACATTACAGTGGTTACCTAAACACACAAAAGTTGGTATCTGTCACATTACACATAAATAAGGCAGAAACATTTACACTTTATATGACAACACATAATACCAACAGGGCAAATATAGTTGTTGAAGCGGAAGTATGAATATCTTGTTTTGTGGGCTTAAAATCTTAAGCTTAGTTGTTTTTATGTAGGCTTCTTTTGTATTTAATATGTAGATTGGGGGGGGGGGAGGTTTAAAAAAATGTAGGTAAATTTCTCTGGAGTTTAAATCAAAACCTCACCAAGCTAATTGACTGTATTGCAGTAGGATGTTGACAAGTCTACTTCAATAGAAAGATGTAATTTAGAGGGATAGACGCCCACTGTCCACATAAAAGTATGAAATACGACAGCTCTTCTGTCCTTTGTATGAGAGATATTCATCGACTACGCCCTCGCAAAAATTTCAGCTGGTTGTGTTGGAGTTGCACAGCTACTATTTGCACTAGAATACTGGCCCAGCTCTTTTGCTAGAGGTAAACAGGAGCAAGTCAAGAAAGTAAAAGGGGGGAAAACTGTCCAAAAAAAGGAGGAAAGAACTAAAAGCCATTTATCATAAGTGTTAAGAATCTATGTCCTCAAGACCCCTGCTTCAGATCAAGGTAATTTGGGATCCGTGAAAGAGCATGCCTTATGACTCTGCACCAGAAAAAAAAAAAATTGGGAAAACAGAAGAATGAGTTTTAATAGCTTCCTAGTCTTATATGTAGGAAAATTATAGGAAAACAAAACAAAACAAAAACCCCACAAGCAGCTATGATACCTTTTTTATGCCATGAACAAGGCAATCTTACCTAGACCTATGCGAGGAAGGTGTTCAAACAGTGTCCAGCTGTGGTCATCTATGTAATGATTCTTCAGTATTAAGAGCTGGCATACATCTCTGGCTGTTACATCACTTGGCACTTCCAAAGCTCTGCTAGTGTCATCCTCACTGTATACTTTAATTACCTGCAAAAACAAGGAGTATAAACAGGGAAAGCTAAAGTGCCCATACATTTAAAATTGCACAGCATTGGTTAAATCAGCCCAGACAACTTATTCATCTCCAAACCTTATGACTGAGACAAGAACCTAAAAGTGTAACATGAAATACAACAAAAGCAGAAAGCTTCCATGTCCCCTTCTAGTAACTGGATCTCCACATTAATATGAGACAAGGATGGTGCTGCAGATGACGAATGGTACAATTCAAGGATCCTGAGAATGAGCTATACAGAAAGGTTAGTGAAAACAGGTCTGAATTTGTTGGAAGAAATTAGACAAAGAGAGGTGAGCTAATTTGAGATGTATGTAATTCTGTAGGGAATAGAAAGGATAGATGCCACAAGACTGTTTGAATTTTGACAAGCAAGAATCAGGGCATTAAAAAAGGATTGAGACACAAGGGAATGGAAGTAGAATTAAAAACATGCACCTGAACAAAAATGATACATGTGAAAGATTGCCAGGGTCTATGAGCAACTAGGGAGTAGTTCAAAATATTGTAGGAGGGAACATAGCACAAGTGGACAGATTTATTTGCTCATCTTCTGTCCTTACAACTGCCAAGTTTCTTCCTATCGTATTACATTTTTATATAAAATTTGTAATTTTCTGGTAATCTTCAGCAATGAGGAGTTGTTGACTTGAAAATTTCAGTAAAGATCCACACTTCTGAAAATGGGGAAATGTGTATTATTTAAATACCATATAGCTTTTTGGAAGAAGAGAAGGTTTGAGTTGAAATTGCTCATGCTTGCACCCAGCCAAAAGATGAATTCCAAATGCATATAGAAGTCAATTCAGATGCAATTTGTTTTGTTTCATTTCTTTGAAGGACCAAACTACAGCCAATCAGATGGAATTGATTAAATTTGCTATTGCTTTATTTTCTGAAGTGCTGTGCACCTACTGCTCCAATTAAAAACCAACATGGAAGAGTTTCTGGTATTCAGGAAACATTTTTGAATTTCTCAATTTGCATGCAATTATAACAGAACCTTGAAACTGAATTAATACAGCACCGTATTTTGCATTTGCCTTTATTTTTATTTTTCCATTTTTAAAGAGAACAAAAATAAGCAATGAAAAATACAGAAGACACTGGCAACAGCCTGGGCTCTCATTTACTTCATTGTGGTATTAGAATCTCAACATTATCACTGAATGAACATAAGTGTTTTGAGTTTAATTATAAAAAATGATGGACTGGTCAACATATCAAGTAGGTGCAGGAGAAATATGCACATTAAAAAAAGGTCTTTTAGATCTTCTGAAGTCCAGTAAAATGGCACAATCCGAAACTGAGCCCTTTATTTTTATTAGCTTGAGTTTTGTTTGTTCTGGGCAGAGTATTTTAATCCTAAAGCTATTTTAAAAATCATTGAAAGATAGAGAACAAATAAATTGTAGATCATTTCATTAATATCTGCCACCAGTACAGAGCTTTTTCCCTAGTGTATATATTTTCTAGCAGCTTGAGACAACTCTGAAGTAGACAAATTGCTGTCTTACTAAGTGTCTCACTTCCCTTGGAAGTCCATGACAGAGACCTCAGCATTATGAAGTTGTTCTTGATATTCAACTTAAAAGTCTTTTATTACACTGGGAGAAAACGTATCTCGATACCCTTTTATCATGCTAGTGTGCATAACTCAACTTGGTGCATCAACCTCAGAGGACCAGATATCAGGTCTTTGTACTCCCTTATGTTGTAATTTAAATGAGCTACATATATTTGGCTCCTTTTAAAGCTTTCCTTCATGAGGCAATCCTGCATCCCTTAAACATTTGCTTCACCCTTCTCTGAATCTCATCTCACTTAACCAGTGAAAGGCTAAGAGATAGCAAATTCAAATGGAGCCTTCCAGGGGATATAGGCCAGGAGAGCAGCCCGAATGCAAGGTCACTGTAGGGTGACCAGGTGCCCTGATGTTATAGGGACAGTCCTGATATATAGGACTGTGTCTTATATAGGCGCCTATTACCCCCACCCCCGTCCCAATTTTTCACACTTGCTATCTGGTCACCCTAGATCACTGTGAGCTTGCATGGCAGGTTAAATGGCAATTCTTACAATACAATTGGAAAGAGGCACCTTAACATAAGGGAATGATGCCTGAAGGGTAGTTGAGATTGTTTGTTAGCGATGGAGTTAGTTCCTTAAAAAGTGTCTTGGATGTGTGTCAGATTCTCGTTAACTGGTTTTTTTCCCCCCCCAATGACATCCCAGCTTCTGTCCCTGCAGGTGTTGGGACTAGATCTACGCATTGGAATGATTCCGGTCTCTGCAAAGGTCATAGGAGATTGGAACAACTTAGCAAAGAAGCACCTACCAGTCCTAGGGAAAAAAAAAGTGACTATGCTCAACTGTTCAAGATACACCGGTATTATTCATCGTATACATTAATATAGCACCCAGAAGCTCCAACTAAGTTTGGTGTCCCATTGCAGTGGGCCCTATCCTAAAGCGCTTACTGTCTAAGCAGAGAAGACAAACTGTGGAAGAGAAACAGAGCAAACTGACTTGCTCACAGTAACACAACATTTTGGTTGCAGAGCTAGATAGGACTCCCATTCCAGAAACTTGTCTCCTAGATGATACTGCAAGTATGTACCTTGCATATCGAGATTCCTTTAGATATACCTCAAGTCAGGAGTCATGTAATGTCACTTTATAGCAAGAATATGCACACAGTGTATGTGGAGGCCTTTGTTAGCCATTTTAAAAGAAAAACTTGTGTAAGAGTTGCAGTGCAGATGACTAATCTCTGTATTACTGCTGAACACATAGAAATTGGCTTTTTAAAATACTGAAGACTGTAACACACATCCTGATAATGAACTGACTGAGGCCATTTGACTTGGGGACAGGGAAGCCTTGGACCATAACATTACAGCTGAAGCAAAACAAAAAAAAAATTTTTTTTAAAGTAGCGTTTATATTCTAAGTCTCCTCACTTTCTTAGCATAGGTGAATACATCCTGCCTAAGTCTAAGACAGCCAATTACCCCCTTCTCTCAGCTAGGACATGTGATACCTTGTAAAAACATAGCTACACTGTGCCATTTAGTTCTGTTCCTTGCAAAAGATTCAAATTTTGCTGGGAGACAACTGACTGCTTGTAGCATAAGAATTTTTCTGAACTTTTGTTACAGTTTGATGAAGTAAGTGTGACAGGGTAAGTCTCATCAAGTTAGAGTGACCTTTTGTTTTCTTTTTAATTAAGAAAAAGCTGTACCATATGCATTGTCTGGGTACATGGACTTTTCTCAAATACAAGGCAAATTTCTTAAGAATTTATTTGTTTCAAAGGTCTCCAAGAATAGAGCCACCTGAAAGAGTCTGTACGGAGACGCTGCCTTTCCTTAAAATGTAGAGCTATACATTTCTTTCTTGCCAGAAGCACGGAGAAGGGAAATGCTCTCTAGAAGTAAAATGAGAATAAAGTCATGACCAAGAATGTGACCACACTGACCTCCCCGATCTACAACCTATGAGGTACCTGCCTAAGGGAATGTCTGTCTCTATTTTTGCTATACCTTTCCTGAACCTAGCCAGCCATCTTCACTCTCTATCCATTTCCTGTCTCCTAACACCTACCAAGACAGTGACGGGAAACAGAAACATAAGGAAAACAAAGGCTGCTTCCTTTACTTATTTTAAGCACCTGGCAGGTATAAAGCTATAAGTCAGCACAGTAGGACATTTTAAAAGTGGGCCCCAGACCCTGGTACTTATACGTCTACATGCAATAGAAGCTTCACAGCATGGCTGCAGCTAGCCCAGGTCAGTTGACTCAGGCTTGAGGGCCTCAGACTATGTGGCTAATAATCACAGTGTAAACATTTGGGCTGGAGCCCAGGCCCTGAAACCCCGTGAGGGTAGAGGTCTCATAGCCCAGGCTCCAGCCTGAGCCCAAACATGTACACTGTAAATTTTAGCCACGCAGCCAAAGCCCTGCAAGCATGAGTTAATTGACTTCGGCTCTGAGACTTGGTGCCACAGGTTTTTTATTTCAGCGTAGACAGACACAGGGTCTTAAAGTGGAAGAGTTTCTACTTCAGCTCAGATACGTGTTTGTGCATAAAGGGAAGGCACCACCTCTAGTGCAACAGGCATTATTAAGTGGTTACATTGCTTGAAGGGAGGGATGGGGGGTTGATCAATTTATTTGTCATCATTTTTTATTTATTTTTATCATTTTGAACATTGAAATAGACTCGTGAAAGCATTTGTGCCAAAAGATAAACCCAGAAGTGTCACAGTATAAATTTTATTTGGATTATATTTGTTTCCTTAGTCATCTTATTCAGATTGTCAAATCATGGTTGACTTCTATTTAAGGTGGAAATGAATATGGTGTGAATTATTTTGAAATATCATTAACATAGGAGAGCAGTAACTGCTTGAATCTAAGAGGGAGCAGCAGAGGGGAAGGAAGCATAAAGGTAACCAGGGCAGGGGATTTTTTGTCCCCGGTTTCTCCCAATCTGTCATGCTGAGAAGTCTCCTAGCAGACCAAGGCCTGCAACTGTGAACTTCATGGATTTGTTGGAGGAGTCTTGCAAATCCTACAATCAGGTTTGAAAACTAATTCCTATTGGTATTCTATTCAGACTCCATTATTTGTATTACAATACAGTAGGAGGGCCTCAGTATGCAGAGACTATACAAACATACAGAAAGACACACTCTCGGTCCTAAAGAGTTTGAGTGTCAAAACCTAGGCACTGAAATCCATATTTAGGCACTTAAATCAATGACCCGATTTTCAGAAGACACTGAGCATCTCTGAACACCCATTGACAACCACAGATCAACACCTCTGAAAACCAGTCCACATTTCTATAGATTTAGGTGCTTAACTTTAGGTCATCACTACAACAATTTTTTTTTTGCCCTATGAATAGAACTTTGGACATTTTGTACTTATTTTACAGTTTCAGTCATGTATTAAATAGATAAT